ATGTTATTTTTTTCTTTCCCTATCAAGTCTGCCTTTTGCCTGTGACCATAATGGGTGACTTGCCCCTCCCTGTCCTATCTCAAATACTATGTGTTTCCTTATTTTCTCCTTCTCAGTGCTGGGGGGAGAATGGGGGAGTGACTGGCTGGGTGGTGCTCAGTTGCCCTTTGAGCTCAAATCACAACAGTGTTCACTGTACTGCTTTGAAGAGGAATGCTGTCCCCCCATCACTTAACCCAATATTTAGAGCATTGCACATCACCATGATCAGTTAAACTGAAAGATTTGATTTTCTTTTTGGCACAATACACCCAAATAATTTAGAAAGAAAAAGAAACTGTTGCTTTGCACTTTTTTTTTTTTTTTTCTGCCTTACTCTTATGATGCACGAGGTTAACATTTATTTGGACATTTCTCTGTGTTTAGAGAAGGTCTGGTAAAGTGGACGCAGACCTACACTGTGAGGCGAGGGGTAAACTCATTCAACAAGATGGGTGCTGGGAGGGAGAAAAGGAGCTGCTAGTGAAGGGGTTGTATCTCTTGCTTATATGCTTTAAAGGCAATACCATACATAGATTAACAGCATGTGTGAAAACAAAATATGATCAGGAATTATTTACAGATACAGATTAGGATTACTTTTAGAGTGAAAATTAGAGCTTCATTTACATCGCTCACTGTATCTGGTTACCATACTACTACAGAGCTTATAGCGAAACTGATTCTCAACAAAACCTCCTTTAAGAAAAAAATTGTGTTTACTTAGGCTTCTCTATCTCTGTATACTTTTTGATATCACAGAAACATGTGGAGATAGATCTGTAGCCAAACACCATTCTCATAAACTCCACAAACACTAACTAACACCATCTGTGGCAATTTTTACTGCAAATTACCACAACATATGAAATGCTTCTTTCAGTCTGATAAGCAGAGCCTTGTCATGGGAATAGTGACACCAAGGCCTCCTTGCACCGTGTCTCTCATTTCCAGATGTTTCTGTTTTAGATATATAGGAAAAAAATGCTTTGTTACATCTCTCCAGTAAACAGGGAAGTTCATCTTCTTAGTGCGCCTTGAATGTCAATGCAAAGCAGAAATGAAAGAAATCAAAATAAGTGACAGGAATAGCACATCTGTGAGTAAGCAGTTTTCTCCAGCACAAAGCTACTCACCAGATGCCAGAAAGCCATTTCTATCTGTCCTCTCCTGCTTGTTCTCAAGGTCTGATCTCTTTCCCTTGAGCTTCCAGTAGTACTTTGGACAAGTAGAAGAAAGCAGAAAGGATTTGAAGGGGAAAAAAGATCCCTCAGTCACAAGCAGACCAAAACAGTGGGAATAATAAAAACATATGGACAAACAACTCATCATACTCCATTCATATCTGATTTGCTTGCTCATCACATAAAATATTCCCTCCTGCCAGCAGCAGCCTGTCTTGCCACAAACATACTTCACCATCAACACTTTCAGGACAAAGTGGTAGAGGGTCTAGAAGGATTTTGCTTTGAGGATTTCTCTGAAACAGCAATATAGTTTATTTGTTGAACCTTTTCCCTCTAACTTCTGTACCTGCAGGACAGTAATTTCTTACACATCCACCCTCACCTTGGGCTGTCTCAAGATCATTGGTCAGCACTTTCCTTGAGTCCTGGGAATAGCTTCTTGTGCGTATCTAGCTTCTCTTCAGAGACCTGGCAGCATTTGTCACTTTTCTGAGCATAAGGCAGAGAAGATGACAGCAGTATATATCCTGCATCTGAGTGGGCACAGATGTACTTTCTGCAACAATCAAACCCAGCAGGAAGTACCAAGTTAGGAGTTATAATTGTGCTCTCCAGAGGTATTTCCTAACCCTGGTAGGCAGAACATATAATTTTGGGAGCTTTCCTTTTTGGGGAGCTGCACTACACCTTTATTTTACTAGATTATGTCTTTAGTTGGTAGGTCCGATGTGCTGGCCTACCATTAGAAGAGCTTCCTCTTTCCACTATCTAAGGAAAGTCATCTCCTAACCTGGGTGTTTGGGAATCTCACCAGCTTAGATACTTAGAAAAAATTGACTACCGATAATTAAAAAGCTTGGATTTCTTGTGTATTTGTTTTCCCTGTGCACTTTGAAGTTCTAGGGAAGAGCCCAAACTTTCTTGGAAAATTGAAAAAGTATTCTGCTTAGAGGTAGTTTTGGTCATAAATTATAGTTTGTGTTTTGCAAGCTGTTTGATGTTCACTATTTACGGAATGTTATTGAAGGTCATTGCATTACTTAGAAGATGACTAATTTATTATTATTTTCACCAGAAGTTGATTACTAGCTGACACTGCCATTAGAGGCAGAGCTGGTGAACAGGATATCAAAGGGAAGACTGACCTAATTAAAAAATAAATGAGGGCAAGGGAATAAAGATCATCTTTTGATATGAGAACCTTTAGTATAATAAAAGAACAATGAAAGAACAATAAAAACCTGTTTAATTTCAAATGTTCAACTTTTTTCCTTTAAGTGTTAGCAGCTCTTTAAAAGTGAGCTGTGTTTTAAATCTGAGTGGATTTGAAATACTCCAGGAAAAAAGCAGTTTGTCAAATATTGGTAATTTAAATAAAAAGAGGAGGAAAAGTACAAACTCTTCCCATATTGTCGAGAACCACTGAAGCGATGTGCCAGAGGTATGCTGCCAGTGTAAAAAAAAAAAACCAAACAAACAAAAAGCGACATCATTTTTATTGCTTTGGGGACAGGGGTGGAAGGAACATGTGGACACATGCCAAGAATGAAATCGGTGCCTGAAGAATGATGGGTGTTTAGTTTCTTTTGATACACACAAAACTGTGTCAACCCTTTCCCTTAATATTTCATTGGTTTTGAAAAGGTACATAATCATGGCTCTAATACAATACATTACATTTTTATTTTTTTAGAGTGTTTTCAAAATACTTATTTCTTTCCTTTCCTACACTCTTCTGCAGTAGCCTACAGAAATACTGTGCTGCGTAAAGGTCAATAAGATTCTGAATAAATCAAGAATTTGATATATTCTTTAGATGTTAGCATGAAGAAATTCTGTTCTGGTTTGCAATCAGTGGGATCATTGACTTATATGGGACCACAAATGATCCATAAGTACACGTTCATTTATCATTCTGAGTGTACTTTGAGTTTTCCAAAAAAGGTGTTTAAAAGATCTGTAATTGCTATGTATATTCAAAAAGCCAGAAGACTAGATGGCTCATGGGATCAGAGAATGGAATACCAGCCATTTTCTCCTTATATCAGTTGCTCAGACTCAGTTGTGAAAAACAGCGCTTGAGTATCATTGCCACTCAGAGGGTATTTAGTGACCTGTGAGGAAGAAATTACTGTGTTTCCTAAATAAACAGTTTTCCACAGCAGGCAAAATTCTGCATGCCACCACACCTATTGGTACCTTGCTAATTTGGACAGCTAATGAAAATAATCTAGAGAGAAACAACAAAAAGTACACTTGTTTTGATGGGCTGTTGAGCATCCTCTGTGAAGAAACAGAATACATCTTGAGTGTTTAATTCCTTTGGTGTTTGAGAAATCAGGTGAAATAGCAATAGTCCCACAGCACTACCTCAGGTAGGAAAAACTGCTGGTGCAGATTATCACTATTTCATTTTCTTTATTTGAAACGTTGCTAATCTGATTCTCTGAATGCTAGATAATCTCAGAAGGCAATTTTGGTTTGTACCTTTGTGCAGGAGATAGGCATATACAGGGTAGTGTGTATGACCTCTTCTGGGATCTTCCTTCAACAGTGCAATTTCAACAGCTGTTAGAAAAATTTTGCAATTCAATCATGGGAGAAAGGCAAACCAGATCTCAGACAGAGTCTCAGATGAAATACTTTCTGTTTAAGGTTTTGTTGAGCACTTACAGAAGCAAATGAGTGGTCAAGTATTTTTGAGGCATGGAACAATCACAACATGAACATGACTTTTCATAACCTTAGTCTCTTCTCCTTTTCCTCTTTTTTGGACTTTACTCCAGAGAATGTCCCTTAGGGCCAGAGGTTGTCACACCATGATGTCCCTTTCATGGGGCCTGATCTCTCCCTCTTCAGATTTCTTCCCCTGCTTCTTTTTCTCTATAGCCTTTTTGTGTGTTCTCTGACTCACTCCCATCTGCCCTGCCAGTCTTTCCAGTTTTCTGCATGGGACATAGGTTAATCTAAGTTTTTTGTAAACAGTGCTGCTTTAAATGAGATGAGAAGTTCAGGCCATACTAAAAGCAACTAGATATTCTAACCAGAACCAGTAGTATTTGATGGTTTAGCCACTCAAAAGCTAGTATTGCATTACAGTAACATAGTAACAACTGTTCAGCAAGCTATTTGAAATTCTCCTACAGTTCTACTGCAAAGGAGATGAAAATAAAAATTCAGTAGTGATACAGGAAAACTTTTAAAACAACTGTCTTTGGCAGTTAAGTTACCTTTGGCGGTTGAACCTTCTCTCACATGGCTACTGTAAGGCAAAAATCAGTGCAGGCCTAACCATAAGACATCACTTTTTAAGTTGCTCCATCTGCCTTCAGAGTTATTGAAAGCCAGAGCTTTGTCTTCCGCTCTGTGTCCCAGTCAGGCTGCAGAAATAATAGGTCCCTGCCTGCTACATATACCAGCTGAGCAGGGGCTCCTTTCCTAATCTTTGGGTCAGAAGTTGTCAGGTCACTGGACAATAAAGCACGGGTTCACCACAGCCTGGTTACGAGCATAGAAATGCCAGTGATGCAGACAGTTCGAGCAGAACCTCAAGAAAAGAGCCTGTTCCAGCTGGTCATTATGCTTGTTATTTTAGACAGAGCTCATACATTCTAAAGTCAGTTAGATTTTTTCATGTTAAAAATCACATACTTAATCTGGTTTCTGCCTCAGCTTTCTAATAAGGGCAGATAAAAAACTACAGTGTAAAACTACATACATTTCCTCCCTGATATCTTCAGCAATTTCTATAATCATGCAAGACTTCTAGAAATCTTTCCATGTGGAAAACCTTTATTAAGTAAATGGACATATGTCCTTGCACACAGGCAACTCAAGGTTTGAATATTTAGCTCTTATGGTCTGTATGGTACAGCTAATCTTACATAAGGACAAAAATTAAATGCAGCTACAAGATCTTTACTACACCACAGCAAGCTCTCCTCCACTTTGTCAGGGATGCATAACTGTAGCATAAGGTTTAATCACGCCTGTTAATTCTAAAGCAATTCCCTATCTACAAGAAAAGGCACTTTGCTTGTGGCTTTGAATTCACAGATCCTCAGAAGAAAAAGCACCTATTTGCCTTCTTAGCATATTGAGCTAGCAGAAAAGAAAAGGAGATAATTTTAGGACAATTAAGAATTGTTTGAAAAAAAGGGACTGTTGGACTAATTACCTTTAGCTTTTTGGATGCAATAAAAAGAGCATAGAGTCATAAGGACTTCCTAACAGGAAAAGAGCTTATGTTAGAAGAGAAACTACCAATTACCCTGTTGATTGGTAAAGCTCACCCAGGTGCACAGAGTGAATTTGAAACCTGTGATTCTTTCCAAGGTGAATATGGTGACAAAATGATTAGCCATTCTCAGTACACATCTATCTTAATTAAAGCCTACCCCCCTGTGATGATCATATAGGCAGCCCAGCTTCTCCAGACACTCACAGCTAGCATATGCATCAATCTTGTTGACAAAGACATTTCTTGAGAGCATGTGCTGTAATGTTTCTTCTCTCCCATGTGGGGCTTTGAAACAAAAGCATTTCTGTGGGCTCTAGCAGCCCCTAAGATCAGTGGCTCATCACTACCCATTAACCACTTCAGTAGTTGCTGAGGTGTGTACGTAAAATGAACTAACACTGTTTTTTTTTTTGTTTTGTTTTTTTCTGTTTCTGCTAATCAATAAATTATCAATAAGCATTACTGATAATCAGGTCGACTTACCATATACCTTCGTGACTACAAACCACCTCCACCACGATGAGTTGCAGCTCCTCTTGTTTCAGAACAAGACTAGGGAGGGAGGGGTGATGGGATTTCCACATTCCACCTGATTTCACTGATACACTTGATGAGCAGCTGTCAAATTTAGAAGAATGAGACCAATAGAAAATTGTGGCCATAATGCATTTATCTCAAGCAGCTGTGTATCAAATTGTGCTTAACTAGTCAAAGGAAATTTATGTTAATCAACTTATAAAAAAAATAGAATCTTAGGAATAGTCCCAAACAAATGTGGAGTTACTGTAGATAAATATTTTTGGAAATTATTTGCCAGAATGTTTACATTAAACAGCAAAGATACTGGCTTCTTAATTACACAGGTTTCTGCTAAATTATTTTAAAGTGTAGAAAATGAGCATGTCAGATACACCTTTAAAATTTAGTCTAGCAAAAAATGGTTACATATTTTTTTAGTACAACACAACACTCTTGAATTGGTAATTCACTTCATATAATTACAGTTACACAGAGAAATTAGACAAATTTAAATCCCTTTACAAAAAAAAAAAAAAAGAGTTGGTGTACAGAGGTATTAGTAGTTTTTCAAAATCCATAACTTCATTAGTTTAAAAGCAAAAATCCAAACCACAACTGTTCTCATACACCCAAGTTGCTTAAATTGGACCATTTTATTTTAAATATTGCAAAGCTAATTCTGAAGGACATCACCCTCATAGGATCTAAATACGAAAGCATTAAGTTAAGAAAAATGACTTTTTGAAGTCTGGTTGTGAGAAAACTGATACTGACAATGACATATTACTGTGTCAATGATGAATAAATACAAGAACTTAAAATTTGAACCACCAGCAATCTCATACATCATTTTCTTTTCTTTTTGGAAAAGATGTAAAAGATTCAAATGTCAGAACTGTTTATAATGTCAAGTGATGCATGTTGCATACACAGTATATTCCATTGATCAAACCAGAACATGGGATAATAATTGCAGATGATGGAGTCCATTTCATGTGCAAATGGACATGGATTTGAAGTGAATTTGGAAGAAAAACATTTTCACATTGAAATCTTAATAATTGTTTCATTCAACCTGCACCAATCCATGCACAAATTATTTTGCATAAAGCTGATGCTTCTGTCAATAACTGATACTAGCGTGATGCCTTCAGGGCAATGTCAGCCAAGGAGAATTTACGGTATGTTGTGGTAATTTGATAAAACTCCTTTCAGACTTGAGATTCAATCCCAACAGAACCAGAGAGAACTATAATTTTCCCTTTGGAGACAGTTCATGCAGTTCTATTTCAGCTTATAGAATGAAACTTGTTATTTATAAAGTAAGGTTGAGTTAGTTTTAGCCTAGTTTCCTAAGAAAATGAGGCATGTGTGATCATGCTATCTGCAAATGCCTTCCCTGCACTCCTGACAGCTACCACCTTCAGAGACAATTGCAATGCAGTTTGAAAGAAGGTAGAAGTCTCAAAGAGACTAAATTGGTATAAAGCTTTCACCCAGGTATCTGGGCAGGGCAGAGATACTTAAATTAGTACTCCCTGTCAAGGAAAGGCAGGAAGAATTCAGCTGTTAAACAGTCTGTTTGGCAGAAGCCTGCAGTCCCATCAGCAGGGACGAGTGACGATACCTCTTACCTTTTGTCTCATGCAGCTATGGCAAAGAGCCCAGTGAAAATTATTTGTTTTGAAAAGGAGGATGTACAAGTCAAAGGACACAAATCTCTGGAAAACCAGAGTGCTTACAAAGTGATTTGGTTTTAGCTATTCTTTGAACTTCTAATTTTACTCTACAGAGATAACAAAATTTAATTCCAGTGCTTCTATAAAAGGTTAATTTGGAAGAACAGTAACTGAACCCTGCCAAACCCATCAAAATATCACATTATTTTAATTTACAGATGTAATAAAATCAAGAGTGGTAGACAGCTTGTTAAGGAGGATGCGCATTTCAGGAATATTAAGATGACTGAGGTGTTTCCCAGAGAATTTACTCCAATTTTGAGTACTGATTAGAGCAAATGTTAGGTTAATGCAAACCAGCCTTCGTTCTTAATTGATCCAGATGGAATCCAGTCCTGCTTAGAAGTTTATGTCCACATTTTAGATAGTAGGTTAAAGAGGCCACACTTAAGAAACATATTAATTCTGTGTCTCCCAAAAAGGTTACATTTTGCGATAGTTTAATTATTTTATTGATTAGTCTGAACAGTGTTCATAGAGACCAAATAAGTTATTTCTAATGCATCAGCTAGATTTTCTGTTATATGTGGGCAAAGGTTTGTGTTCTGTGGCTGCCACAGTCATTAGCGAGGGAAAGAATAAAGGAAGGGAAAGGAGAGATATGGAGTCAAGAGTGAAAATTGTTACTCCTGGAGCAGGCTGCTTGGTATTGCCTGGGCAGTCTTTGACGACATCAAGCTCTCTGAATGTATCACATATTATCTTCCTTGAAATGATGCCACAGATGCCACATCCATCACTGGATCATTCAGATGCTGTGTCTCCTGCCGCTCTGTATGATTTTGAGTACGTTGGAAAGGTCAAAAATTTTCGTAATCAATTCCATTAGGTCCTTGTCTTTTTCCACACCAGTGATAAACTCTTCTAAAGTCAGTTCCCCTAAAAGGAAGTCAGATATTCCTTAGGAACTGAGAAACCCATCAATCACTCTCAATGCAACACAAGGCCATTCATGACAGATTGAATCCCTCAGGAATGTTCCTGTTCTCTGCTGATAAGCAAATGCAAGAAGAGTATTTGCTAATGTTTTCCCACTTTGCATCAGATCCTAGAACCCAGACTCACTTTTTTTTTTTTCTGTTAAAACTGGTCAAACACAGCTTTCACTGAAAGGTCTAAGATGAAATGAGTGCTCAGTATCTATGGTGACATAAATGTGTGAAAAAGGGCAGTAATGAAGCCCATATCAAGGCTGGTTTTAACGGAGATTAAGGTGTGATTTGTTGAGGATTACCAGTCACACTCCTGTGTTGACTACTAGGATTATCTAGAGCCATGATAACATGTAGTAAAAAAAAATCAGTTAAGTGGCTTGATTAGATAAATTCTTCCAAGCAACAAAAACGGTCATTTAGAGTGTGATGTTTTGGCCTCATGTCAAAATCAGGTAATACCTTGGAAATTGCAAGACAACTATAAAATCTCTTTTATTGAGGAGAAGGAATCTTGTTTAGCATTCTTCCTCTCTTCCTGCTCTCTTCCTTGTCAGCAAAGGAAAAGGCCAGTCCTAGGCATGTGTCTGCTTGCATAGTACACAGGAATGTACACAGTTCTTTGGTTAAGAGTTATTCCAGTGATACTGTTGTTCTCTGAGGGAAAACAGAGCTTGGTTTAATAGGAAGAGCTTGATTCTTTCCTCTGAGAATGATTTAAAGTTTCTTGGTAACATCTCAACAATGAATGGTTTCTCACTGAAATAATAAATGACAAGAGAGCAGGCAAAGAGGAAAAGAGTTGGATGACTTAGGGCCCCAGGGTGCAGGGGAGCAGCAATTTGAGTTGCATGCACTTCTGGTGGATGCCAAGCTAGATGGCTTTTGGCTGTTTTCATATTTAAGTACTCCACAGAGTTTTTTTCTGTTTTGTTTTTTGTTCATGGCAGCCTTGGAAACTTCATCTGATGTGAAAAAGGAAAATGACCAGCATTTGAAAAATGTGAAAACCACTTTCTACCCATGGGCAGTAAAGGCTGCTTCCTCTCTAGTCATATGGGTCCTCACTGCCCTGGTGAGCAGGCTTATATACACACTACTAAAGTGGAAAGACATCATTCGACAGAAGCCTCAGCTCTTAGGGCTTCAGTGGGGGGAGTAAGACCCTCTCCAGGGGCTGGTGTGCAGTGCCCTGAGGATGCTCTTTCAACCCCTGTGCCCATATGTAATCATCCTGGGAGCAGAGACAGAGCACGCCGTCTCTGTACGCTTGTCTGCGTCCTTCTGCTTTGCTGCTCATCCACTCACTTCTTCCTATCTCTCCTCCTGTCCCAGGCACTCCTCTTACTTCCCATCTCCTTCCCTCTGTATTGCCTTTGATTGAGGTCTTTACGTGGATGGGGTTTCTGGACTTGTCAAATGGACATACTGAATCATTTTCCTGCTTATGCAGGACAGCTGGTCTTGAATTCCCTCCTCTTGATCCCAGGCTATATATCTCAAAGTGCCAACACCAGCGTGCAAGCATACAAAACCCACTGCAGTTACCAGTGAGATGTGGTTACACTGGCATGCCCACATGCATTGCAATTGTGACAGGTCTCAGATTTCCTTGAGATAATGAAAATAAATTGCAAAGCCATCCATTGGGAGATTTGTCTTAAGAACTGCTCCTTACAACCATGAGATTATTTCTTATATTTTAATGTGAGGAAGGACATTGCAACTTAGTTGCCTATTTGCCCTTTTCTATAGTAAGAAGCTACAAGGAGGTAGCATAATTTATGCTAAACTTGATAAAATTTGTCCCATTCCTCAGGTGGATCTAGTCCTGCTGCTTTGCAGCTATTAAAAAAAAACCCACCAAAAACTATGGAAAGCAGTTTGAAATATGAGTGTTATGAAGATAATTCTGAATATCTCATGTTCTGGCATTTCATTGCTAAAATATAAGACACAAAAGTTATTTTTTCAGCTGATGGCCTAGCTCAGATACAGTTATTACTTGCAGTAAACATATGGTCAAAGCAGGGGCCAAAGTATGAATAATCATAGAATTTGGGTTAGATTCTAGAATATGACTGTTATTTGGAGTCCTTTGGTAATTTCCCTTCACCCAAAAGATAGGCAGAGCAGGTGGGGAAAAAATCCTGTACAAGTTATTCACATGCATCACAAGATCACTGTTTATGCCCTAATTATATATCGCAAACAGCTTTTTTTAAAAGTAACTTTTATACACCAAGTAAGACCAGAAAAATGTATAAAAAAATGCCGCAAGTTCCTGACTAGCATCTGATTTTACTTTGCAATGCTTTCCTAATATTCCTAATTTGTCAATTATTGCAGTATTTGCTGTAAAATGTAATTGCCAATGGAAGGAGGAATTTCATGATTAGAAGTATGAGGGAAGACATTCACACATGACAAGTTTTCTATTACAGACAATTCTGAAACAGTGAATTAAAGTTCTAGTTTCAAAATGCAAGTCCAATTGGCTTAACCTAGCTATCTTGAGAAAAAACAGTAGCATGTGTCTTAACATGTGTTAACAATCAGCCTTCAAGAGATATCCAATATGCTGTCCAATCTTTACAACATGTTAGAGCATGTGCAAACATGCATCTTAATTGGGCTTCTTATCCATTTTAGATAGATTAAGCCAACACAAATATACTAAGAAAACCCCCTCGACCACACTTTCATCTTGCTGTGCAAGCAGAGCGCTGGCATTTTGGATAAACAGTGCAAGACCTCCATGTTTTAGCCCCTACTGCATGTAATTCCTATGTCAGCTTAATAGAGTCAGTTGATTTACATTTCACTGTAAAGATGAAGTTATATGGGTAAAGAAGAATAGGTTCAGGCTTTCCGTTAATCTAGAACAATCAGTTCTTCGGTAGTGTGTTCAGCTCCCCTCTTGATCCCATGCTTCCTTATGGAGCAAAATTCCTGCCAATGCCAAGACAACCTGGATTCTTACCGTCATTGTTCACATCTATCTTCTGAAATACCATGTTTGTGAACTCCTCAGCAGACATGTTGGTGTGGCCATTAATAGCCTGGATAGCCTGAACGTAGAAATGCAGAAAGTTCTGTCAGACTTTTTTCCATCAAGTTGTAAAAACAATACACTGGCAACTGCAGTAAATACAGTGCAGCTCTTTAGTTCACTAGCCCTTTCAAAGAAATTGCTAAATAAATAGCTATTTCAAGTAAATCTTCAGTAATGAGGATTGGAAATTTAATTAATGTAACACAGCCTGAAGATTACAGAGTAATTTACATATCTCTGAGGGTCTTCTGAAACCATGTGGCACCTCTGCTCTGCATTACACTTTAGATTCCACACCAGCATTTTTATCTGGTCCTAGACAGTTCTTTGTCTTTGAAGAGTGCCCTATGGTCTGTGTGATTTAAATATAGTATCATTTTTCACAGCTGAAAGCACATGAGGAGAAAGCCTAAGTAATTTTTCTATTAAGATATGTTTAAATTAGTAGTCACAAATGAAGTCAGACCAGCAGTCCTGGAAGTTGGCAAAATTTACTTGTCCCCCAAAGAAATCAAGAAAACCAGAGGTCTCCCCTCTATCTTTTCTGTGGCAAAAGGACCAAATATTTGGAGTAAAGGTAAAAATTAATATTTTTGCTGAATTGTATCCCATTCACTGGGACAGTAATTTTTGCATTTTGGTCATCATTCAAGTTAATAAAATAGGAGCCTATATGTTAATAGCCATTGGCTCAGATGCAACAAGCATGTGTTCACAAAGTTGGATTCAAACTCAACATCCCAATTAGTGAGTGACTGGGAAATTACATGCATATATATTTATAAATACATATGCATGTATATTCTGTATTGGGCATACTATAGAATTTATTTTCCTACACCTGAATTATCCTGAGATGAACTCTGTTTTGTAAGATAATTCACCATATGTACCAGTTGTTTCTTTCACTATTCCTGATATATTAGAACTCATTATATTTAAATAAAATGCAACTTAAGCCTATTCAGCATTGATAAGGAATTCTTGACTATCACTGTCTTTATCTTTGCACAAGCAAGTTCCAAAAGGCAGCAAGAATTTTACAAAAATAGATACATAAACTTGTTTGTATTACTAATTCATACTTTAGCTACTTTTAGTGTTTTTTATGTCTGACTGATGCACTCTTCAGAATAAAGTTGTACATCTGCCACAGTTAAGTTTGTTGTAGTGCTAAGAGTAAAGCAGTGGGTCCTGAAGCACTTGAATCATTGACTACCACAGAATCACCTTAAATAATAAAAAGAATAACTGGGCTGTTAAAAGGCATTGAGAGGGTGAATGGTTTTCTGGAAGGAATTTTGATGGTTGATAATGATCTGCTGGTCCAAAGTTTGCATATCCCTAGGGACAGATGAAGTTTTAATAGGATTTATGTGATTTAATCAGGGCCCCTAATGGCTGTAAGCCTGTATTTTTATTTTTGTTTAGAGCCCACCAATTTTAATCTAGTCTAGGTCAAATGACTTATATGGGTTGGAGTTAAAGTTCTCATAATCCAAAAGAGAAGAAAACACGAGGTTTAAACTGGTTTTAAAACCAGTTCAGTTGAAAAAGAAATCTTTACATTAAAAGGATTTTAATTCTCTTTTCAGGTAAAGTCCAAGACAAAACACAGTCATCTCAATGCCTCTGGGCAAAAAATGATGGCGAATATCTGCAAAAAAGAGATGTCATTAGTCTTAAACAAGGAGAAATCTGGGAGATGCAGCCTCTCCTTCTACCTTTAGAAAGCTGCTCTTTAGAATGTGATGTATCATCTTTATTTGTTTAACCTCCTGACTCCACCTGGCTCCAGTTCATTTTAATTTGGGTATCAGCTCTTGAAAGTCTCTAACAGTGACTAGTCAGGCACCAGCAGTAATATGGAATCCAGGAAAAGTACATTCCTCGTTTATTATGACATTAAATCCCTATTTAGATTTTATGCTCCCTACAGCAAAGCCTTAATCTGTAACGAGTCCTATACATTTAGGGAGCAGTATTAAGTCATTCACATTTACAAGGAATCCTACTATACCTGAAGTGCAAAATACCATGTCATTAGAACAAGTTGAAAAATACAGAAGTCATTTAAAAGAAAGAATTGCACTGCTTTGGTTTTATGGATTTGAAATGGACCATCTTCTGTAGAAAATTTTCTACAATATTTGTATCCAAATGTCACTGCATGATTTAATGGTAAAATTAAATTTCCCTAATTTAATTTTAAAATAAGGGTAATGGCATTTGTAGTAAACAAATCTGAAAACCTCTAAAAAAAAAAAATATTGGAATATTTTGATGACATCTATATTGTTTCTTGCATCAAGTTCAGTTTGAGAAGCCAGTATTTCACAATAGACTGACACAAACACCTGTAACCGGCTGTTTTATTCATTATGCTGCTTCAGTTCTACCCTGTCTTATAGTATAGTTTATCACAATAATGTCTCTACAGTTTTTCACTTTCAGTAAAGCACTAGATCCATAGAACTATGGTTTAAAGTAAAATACTACTCAGATATGTTTACTTCCATAAGCAAGAAACTAATGGCAGGAGTGTTGCTAGCCAGAACAATTCTGGTTTTACAACTATAAAACATTAGGTAAAGCATAGACAATCCATTTACAAGACATCATGAACCACTGTTTCAGGGGCAATGCACTATGTCACATGCTGTTTGCTATTGGTCATAACTTGCTTACCGTGAATATGCTTAATAGTTCTTTCTTGTCAATACATCCATTTCCATCAGCGTCGTATAGCTTAAAATACCATTTCAATTTTTGGTCCATTTTCCCTCGTATAACCAAATTTATTGCAGCTATGAACTCCAAGAAGTCTATAAATCCATCCTAAGAGAGAGGGAGAAAAAAACCTATTTAACAACGTTGTTTTTCTGTTTATTCTGGTAATTTCATGGAAACAGGCCATCCAATTCACTGTAATACACACTGATTTATTAAGCACCTTAACAGAGAAATCTCCTGTGGTGTTTAAAAAGGATGCGCTCAAGTGGAAGCACTATAGGAAGGGGTGTTAGCACAGACAGTTTTGTTCTCCCCTGAAACTGGGGAGAAATGGGGGGAAAATCTGTTCTGATCAATTGTTACTGACATTTTTTGAGAAGAGAAACAGTTTTGTGGTAGACTTCCACATGCAAAAAAGGGGAGTCTGGGATATCAGGTTTGGTACTAATGAGGTGTCGACAGTGGAATTACTTATATTCATACAGGTACTGCAGAACTATGGATGATTTCCAGGGCTACAGAGCTATTCCAGGTGTTCCTCATCTGAGGTATCATGTAGCAAGTGTTGTACGTGGTAACCAGTGACCTGGCATGAGCTCCAGGTACTGTGGTTTATCCATATAAACATCAAGTCTCTCTGACTAATACATTTTGCATGTGATATAAAGCCTTCAAGTCATTAACTAGTTTCTAAATAGTAAGGACTGGGGGATATTCATAGGGAAAGATCATTTCAGATCAAAATTAATTTCATATTTTCTGTTTCCTTCTCCGAAGCTGTTGATGGAAACCTGTCAAGGACAGGCCTCCATGGTCAGGTGGTCTAAGCTACTGTGACAGTTCCTCTGTTTCTGTAAAAATGTGGTGAGGATGGAAGAAACAGTTGCTGAATTTGGAGAGTGCTCGCTCCAACTGTTTCTCATGTGCATATAAAAAGAATTAACAGCTGGGAAATTTAATCTTGTGATCTCTACATTGGTCAGAATCCAATTGCTTGGAAAACCTTGGAAATGCTGTCATCAGTTTCAGATGGCCTGTGATTTGAGAAGAGAAGGTTGGATGAGTATCTAGTAGGTTTAGCATATTACTTATTTTTATTGTCATATGTAAACACATCTCTTGCCAGTTGCTTTTGCAATCACCAGGCATTAATCTGTCCTCAAGACTGTACTAGACTAAAGGAAAAGAAGTCTTGTAAAGGTGTGGTGCGACTCATTGCCATACTTGTAGTGCTTGTTTTGTTTTCTGTGCAGGGCTGTTTGGCAGAGTGGCAGCTGAGAGGTAAATCCAATGTTTCAAACACACTGGATTCAGTGTACATGCAGAAATGGTGCGTACATAACTTGTGCAGGCTGACCATTGCTTCACTGACTCTCTGTGCAAGTCCTGCTGGGGTTGCTGGATTTACTCGAATTGCAATCACAGCAAACACAGCAAAGGCAAAGACACTATTCAACCACTGTTTAGGATTAAATGAAATTTGGCAGTAACTGCATGTAGTTTTCAAATAAGATTAGGTCTATTATTAAAAGCAGATGCTTTACAAACAAATGACACATCATCTCCCACAAACTTTAGGCTTCTTTTTGGCATATGAACTTGAATTTCCATTTTACAAGTATTATTTCAAGAAGCATCTCATCAGGTATTTTACTGGAGGGCAAGGTTCATTTTGCTGATTACATTTCCATCATCTGATTTGAAAGTTCCATTAAGAATGTGGTTAAATGCATTTCACATTGCTGCTTTTTTATTGCATTTTGTACTACTTATTGAAACTACAGGTTAATTTTAGGCTTGCTGGATGTCCATGACCAGATTAATTTTCTTCTTTCTCCCTTACATTTTACTTTGGATTTTGGAAAATAGTCTTTTTTTTTCCTTTCTTCCTATGTCTTGGTGTCACTGTTGTTGCTCTGACAAAATATCAGAAGTTTGGACAATGTAATAATCAAGTTAATGTGCCTGAGTATGTAATTCTGATCTGGTGGATTGTTTGACCTGTTCCAAGCAGGAAGGGACTGAAGGCCAAGATCAGAAAACTCCCACTTCTGAAAAACACCTGTGAGAAACTGTAGGTGCTCGGAAAGGCCCACCCCCATTCTGTAGAGATCCAAAGACCACCAGTGATGTGTTAACCTTAGCAGCAAATGCACCAGGAATAAGCATAATGAGAAGGCAGACGTGTTTATCTACATGATGTGGAATCAGAAGCATTGCACAAAAGCACTGATGAGAAATGTATTGGTTTTGCTTTCTACAGAAAAACATACATTGTAGGTAGAAAACATTGATGTGATGCAGAAGGCTATGGCGATCTTCTTACACAGAGCTTTCTCAGATAGAAATACTGCGCTTTTTACAGTAGCAGCCAGGAGCCTCAGAACAGCACATTGAATAATGAAGAAAAATCAAAACAGTAACCTATGAATATCATCTCGTGGTTTTGCTTTCCATGTCTGTATGGCACTGTCTCTGCCTTCCTCAGCTACAGCATATTACACTGGGAAACCATGGGCATCTGGAGGGACAGTGAAGTCCTGCTTCCTTCCCTGTGAAATGTGCAGAGCCGGCTGGGGTAAGCTCACAGGGTACCCTCTCTGGGTATGGTGTAAAATAGTGGGGCAGAAATTTTCTAATGCCATTCTGAGGAAAAAAAAATGGGTTCAAAACTTATTTCACATGCCCCAAAGTTTTCTGAACTTTCTATGTAACATAGTAGACTTAATAAAAATATGTACTTTTTTTTTAGCCTTTTAACTACTTGACCAGATGATCTAGAAGCTTAAGGGTGCATTATGGTTGTGCATGTGTTTGTGCCCTTTAACGCGGTGTTTTTGTAACTTGTTTTGCTTTCAGTGATGAGTGATTTTTTCAAGCCACTCAGAACAGTTTGATTCACAAAACAAGGACAAAAGAAGGCTCCAAAAATGGAAGGAGAATTTGCTGATGATGTAAAATCGGTTGTCATGGCCCTGAGGGCACCACCAGCCTTGACTGCCCCTGCCCAGGGCGCAGGCCCCATTTCAGCTATTCATTAGTTACTGGATCTCCTGAGGAGAGAGCAATTTAATTTTATCTTTTTATGAGAAGTTTTTTCTTCAGAATGTCAGCCTATGTGCAGTTGCTGGAGGCTGTTCACTTTTGTTCGGTGAGGATGGGGATGAGAGTCCTGTGAGGGCAAAGCTGGGCAGTGAGGGACTGTAGCGTTACGCAACAGCAGATAATACCCCAGCCGGGAGCTGTAGGAGGGCATTATCCTTTGGTTCCCAGAATAGCATTGCTAATCTTCACAGGTCCTTAAAAAACCCTCACAGCTTCAAACTATTTGAATGCAGATTAAAAATAATTGACTTGTCAGCTATGATTACACAGCTGATCTTAAACAGCATGGTAATTCAAGGTTGGGCCAGAATGATCTGAATGTGGTGTTTTGGCTGCCTAGCTCTTATCTGAGGGTGATTTCCTAGCCATGTTGATGCAGTACTACTGGGGGTAGCCAGACATCTCCCACCACACACTGTGGCCATGCATGTGGGGAGGGACAATTTCTGTCCCTGCAGAACTCTACGATTGGTGAACTCCTTGTCTTGGAGCACTGAGGACTCTACCAAGAGTCTATACACAATAAGCAGTGTCTTGTTTCCAAAATTTGCTCCTGAAAAATCTCTAAACTCAGCCTGACACCAGGAGAATAGCTCAACAGGCTTTATCAGGATTAGGAAGTGTGCAAATATAGACAGCCTAGGTATTTCAAACCTTCCCTCCTTACCCGCTGTCTTTCAGGCTACTACTTAGACCTTATAAGGCAGAGGGAGGAGGCACAGGTCAAACAGCAGATTACAACAGCTCAGAATAACTGTGAAATTTATAGCTAAACCTACGTGCTTCTCTCTCTCTGGAACCCATTTCAAATACAGCACTGTTTTCTCTGCCCTCAGAAACCCAAAGGAGGATTCATTTCACTCCATTTCATCTTCCCCCATTTCTTTACTTTCTTTTTGCTTCTGAATTCTTTCAGCTGTTCCTCAGAGGTTGCATATGCATTACTGAAGAAATAACAGTGCTACTCATACTTCTGTTACTTTGACATGTGCCTAAGGTCTGATACTGGAGTCTGGGGCTTGGAGGGAGCTCCAGATCCCCTACAGGCTATGGCCAGAATCATCAGTTTCCTAAGTAAACAAAACTGGCATTTGTCCTGAGGTGGCCAGAGACTCTTGGCAAGTAAAGGCTATTAGGTAAGGATGAAGAGTGAAGCAGGGAATTAGGAGCTGCGGACCGTTAAGTGGTTTTGTCATAGCTGCATACTCACTGTTATATAAAGAGAGGAGGCTGTATTGACCAGACTGTTACACAAGGTTCTGTTTTTCCCAGACAAAGTGGACCTGCAAGATTTGGGGACTTAGAAAACACCAGGATTTTTGTGTTAGAGGAGTTGAAAATGCAGAGCCAGCTATGTGTCCTGGCTCTCAGGCTTCTAGGCTACCCTGGTAAAACCTGGTGAAATCCAAAATGTTAAGATGACAATTTTATTTCTTTAAAATTAACAACTACTCCCCAACACCCTGCCATCACTCACAGTTTTCTTTCAAGATTCCTGGAGAAGCAGGAAGACAGGGAAATCACCAGGGCATCAGGATGTGCATCATGGCACAGCAGTGCCCAGGAGGGCTGTACTGAAAGAAAGCATGTGCTCAAGGTCCTAGCCCTCTGCCATCATCTCCTGAAAGGTGGGGTTTACCTTTCTGCACCCCTAATTTTGAGCCTCTGCCTGTGTTTTTAGAAGCATCTTTCCCAACTTAAAACAAAGCAGTAGGCAAGAGGGAGAAAACTAAAAAAATGCAGCCATGACCACATAACACATTTTTCAGCAAATTTCTTGCTGACAATTCAAGCAAATTTTTCTTGTTTGAAGAATGTAGCAGGACAAACCTCCAGAAAAAGCACTTTGAAGACATACATGTCTTCTAATGTCAAAGATGCTCTATTTGGCAAATTATCTTGGGTGCTCCTAGATAGTGTTTTTAGGAATTAGTATCTCAAGGGATGTATGCAAGAAGGCTCATAAAAGTTAAACACATATACTATAATTCCTTAATCTA